ATTATATATAATATATTTATATTATATATAAATATTCTTTTATATTAAAAATTTATTATATTATTACTTTATAATGTAATTTTATCATATATTAGGACTTTATGTAGAATTTTTTATAAATTGAACAATATTTTTTATAAATTGAAAATAATAATAAATTATATTAATAGATACACATTGCTAATAAGATTTGAAATATATTTAAGAACAATTTATTATTTTTGCATTTAAATAAATTTTAGAGTTTTATTTTTGAAATAGCTGCGGAATATCTCAAATCAAATAATAATAATAATAATAATAAACAAAACTTTATATAATTTATTTATTGTCATTTATAAAAAAATAAATTTTTTATAATATATTTAAAAATCAAATAAACAAGAATAAAAAATTAGGAGAAAATCTGTCTTGTTGCTACAATTTTCTCTAATTTATTTAAAGGATAATTTTATAATTTATTTAAAAAAGAATATGCATCAAAAATTAGTAAAAAACAAATCTATGATTGATTTTTAGAGATGCATTATTATCTAGACAGTTAAGGATTTTCTCATATAATTTATTAAAATTTGATTAAATCAAGTCAGATTGATTGTGATCATCGAACTTAGTATTTTGAAATAAAAAACAACGGATCGAATTTTATACCGAATTTGAAACATTGTCATGTTTGAAATATAATAATATGTCAATTAATTAAATATTTTTATTTATAATTATTATTAATAAAAATAATTTAATTTTTTAAAATAATATAAATAAAAAATTATGAATTTTTTATAATGAATTATTAGTTTTATATATTCTTTTATTATATTTACACATGTAAATAATTTGATTCATAAAAATTCTGTTTTTTTTATTGCACATTATATACACATCTGTGTGATATTATTAAATATATATCTATAAATTTTAATAATTTTTTTTCTAAATTTAATTAAAAATTAATTGATTTTTATTATAAAAGAATATAAAAATTAATATAAATAATAAAAAAAAATTATTATTAAATTTATTATTAATTATTATAAACTTATATAAGTCATTTTATTAAAGTATATAATTCAGAGTATTATAATACAATATGTGAAAAAATAAATACAATTTAAATAAAAATATAGATATTCTTATATATTTATTTTTATATATTTATATTTATTTATATATTATAAAACATATTATTTTTTACAGAATAACATATCTTAACATATAAATACAATATTTAATATATTTTTTTAAAATTATTCAATATATAATAATCAGGTAATTATATGTACTACAAATTTATTTTCATTATTTTTATTATTATTATTTATAATATAAGAATTTTTTCAAAAAAAATATATTTATACATTAACAATCAAATTGAGATTCATATATTGACTTAATTATAAAAACTATAACTAATTAACATATCAATTATGAAAAATATATATAAATATAAATACATACATATTTTAAATTCAACATTATTTACTTAATTACATTTTATTATGGACAATGATATAATTTTTAATCTTCAAATTAAAAGCAAAAAGATAATTGTTTATTAAAATAATTAATTATTTGTTTGTATATATATATATATATATGTATATATATATATATATATAAACATTTTTAATTTTATACAATTTTTATATACGATATATTAAAATAATCATTTTTATAATATTAATTTCAGAATTTTTATTTTTACATAAAATATTTATTACTATTGCTATAATTATAATTATTATTAAATTTGTGCAAATTCCTTTAAATTCTTTAAACAATAGCAATACTTTTGACTTAATGTAAGTAACACTCAACAAATTAGCATTATTTTTAATCTTATATCTAATCTATCACAATCACATATTTAATTATTACGTAGATTATATTTACTTTTCATAAAATTTCGAAAAAATTAAAATTTACAAAAAATAAAATAATAACAAACTAAATGAAAAAAACTTTGAAATATATTCAATTTCAATTAGATTCTTATACACTTTTATATTATTTTTATTTCTTTTTCAAATGAAAAACACAATTTATTTTTATTAATAATATTAAGTGTGAAATTTAAAGGAATGTATATAATACTGGTTTTAATTATTATTGATAAAATTGGTTTTTATACAGAAATTTTATGATACTTGTATAGAAATTATTTTGTGATAGCTAAATGACTTAAATTTATGACTTAAATCAATTATTTAATATTTTAAATATGATTATATCATATGTGTCATCAAAATTCATATTTCAAATAAAACTTGAAAGAATACAAATATTATAATAATATTTTTCTTTTTATATTATTTTATATGTATATACATATATACTATTGCTTTCATAATGTGCTTAACACAATTTTAAATATCATGGATTAAAATATATAGTTGAACTTATTAAAATGTATAATATTAATTAAAATATGATTTAAATATTATGTATTAAATGATATTAAATTATATAATATTAATTTAATTATATTAATAATTATCATCTTTATAAATTTTGTCATGTGCATTTTTGTAAATTTTTTTATAATTTAAGGATGATGAATATCAAAATAAAATTAGGAACCTGAAATTTATTCTGTATGTATAAGTAGAAAAGAAAACTGGACTAGATATCATAAGTACTACTTGAATTACTATATTCTTATAAAAACAATGATGTAGTACTCCGATTATACAATTCTAAAATACATCTATTATGCAATTTTTCTTTTATAATTTATTTTAAAATATTATTAAAAATAAAATCATTATCTTATTATCTTTAAAATTATATAATAAAAAATAAATCTTACAAACTCATAAACACAAATTATATTAAATGTATAAAGAAGATCTTTTATATTTCTATAATTTAAATTAATAAAAAATTGTTTAATATTCTGCATTTTAAATAAGATAAGATATAATAAAACATACATACAATTTCAAAAGATAAATATGTATCCACAATATAGCAGAATTAATATTAATCCTATAGGATATATATATATCCTATAATATAATATAATATTTTAAATACAATTTATCAAAATATTTTCTTTTCTACTATACAAAAACTTAAAATATTGTAAATGTTGAAAATCAATAACTAAACTAAAATGTCATCAAAATGTATTTGATGATATATCATAATCATGTGTATTTTTTTGTAATGGTTCAATACCCATAGTCCATATTACTGGTGAATCTGTATTGACAGTTACTTCAGAGCAATTATCATATGTATTTGATGTACTTACCAAATCACCAAATTGTAAAGTTGCATTATCTAAGAAATAAAAAATATTTTTTTTTTATTTTAATGTATCATCTAATGTATTATATAATCTTAATTAATACTTAATTGATTAAAACATTTCACTTTCACTATTAATCAATACATACTCAAATTCCATTTTAAACCAGTTGTTATTATGCAGTTCACAGGTGCACCAACTGGTAAAAGTCCACACCAGCTATTATTTTGTATTAAAATTTTAGGAATAATTATGCTATGAAATCCTGGTCTTAAAATCCATGTCATTGAATCACTTGCAATTTGAATCACCTGATTAATAATATAAAATTTCATGATTAAAATAAAATATTTTAAAATAAGTTATAATTAATTTAATTATAATATAATATAATATAATATAATAATTAAATTAAAGAAACAATTACTTGTACATGTTCAATAAGCGTATCACTTTTATAAAGTGTATTAATATTTCCCATGATATGATCAAATCTTCCTGAGAAGTCTGTGAACACGTATATTCTATTTAGCTGTAAAAAGTAGCTTTCTCATTATTAAATATAATCCATTTGATTTTAATTTTTGTGAAACATTCATTATTACTTTAATATTTTTCATCTTTACATATTGTCCCAATTGGAACAAAGCTTTTGCATAATCTGTATGATCTTGATCAGGTGTTTCAATAATTATTGAACCCATATTCTTCAGTTTTTCAAGAATTATAGGAGAACAACTGTCCATGTCACCAGTAATTAAATTTGGTACATATTCATTATGATTTTCATTTAATAGATCAATACCTTGTTCTTTTAAGTAACATAACCACTTGTATGTCCCACCATCAACAGTAACATTAATTTGAGCTGAATAATATATTTATGATATATATATATATATATTTCTGATTAAAATTTATATCCGAAAAATATTATCATATATATGTAATCTTTATATTTTTTGTTTTTTTTTATTTTTAAACATAAGGACATACCATTTTTCCAAATTTGAAGTAAAATGTCATCTTTCCAATAAAGTGGACTGTTTAATATAACAACAGCATATTTATAATGTGAATGATGAGTAAATATTTGAACAGGATCCCACATTGTTATATTCACGTTTGAACCACATTGCATGATTAATTTTGATTTATGTTTTTTTAAAACTGAAAGAAATATGTATAAAGTTGGGTTATGTAATATAATAATATAAAATTATATAATTTTTATTATTTAAGTATTTTCAAATTTAATATAATTATAAAAAAATTAAACGAAAGTTGGATTGGAAGTTCACTATTTTTGTTATATCTTACGTAATAGTTGTTGGACTCTATTCATGATAAAAGTTAGATTCAAAATAGATTTAAAATCAAACATAATTTATAAAAAATTATAATAAATATAAAATAAATATAAAATAATAAATTTTTTTATATAAAAATTCTAATGTATGTTGATTCACTAATATAATGTAAAAACCACGTGTTTTAATCCTATAAAAACTATCTATATAGAACATACATATATTATAATTTTTTAAAATTTTGATTATATATTTTTTATTTTATAAATAAAAAATTTGTTTAATATAAACAAATATATTAAAAAACTAAATTATTAAAAAATAAATTTATTTTATTCAAACATCAATAGAACATTGTATCAATTTAACCATCATTCAATTCCATCGTATAAGTATGAAACGTTGTTGTATGTATAATTATACAAAAATTGTACAATAGTTTTGCAAATATTTAATATTCAACATTATAGAAATGAAATATTTCATTGAATAAATGTGATAAACATAATAAAATTTATCATATTCATTTTTATTATAACCTTATAAAAAATATTAAAAAATTATGACATCTAATAAAATTTGGATTTGGAAAAACGTTCCTGGTATTATCGGTCGTTATAATGATATAATTTATTCATATCCAATGTTATCACCAAGTCAAGATGTTCTTCTATATTTTGGAGGTGACATTCAGGTATATAAAATAATATTTATCATTATGATTTTATTAAATAAAAATACAATATGTAAGCATATTTTGATTGTAGGATATTCAAGAAAATATGGAACATACAGCTAACAAAACTTATATAGAATGGAGTTTACAAAATACTGCTAAAATACTTAATATAAACTTTCCTAAAAAACATGTGCTATTAATTCGACCATCTAGGTGACAAATATAAAAATAATAAATTATTTTTTATATAATTTTTAATATTAATAACGTCAATATTATTTTAGAATATATGGAACAATAAGCTCTTTTAATAATTTTGTATTATCAAACGAATATGGTGTGCCATCATTTCTTCCAATATATAATGCTTTAGAACATTTGCAAGAATTAATTAAATCTTCTTTAAATCATATTAAAATGTGTAATGCAAACAGGGTATATATATTTAATTACTTCATATATATATATATAAAACTACAAATTATAATTGAATTAAAATAAATATACTTGTTGTTTAGGAATTTACTCATTTTAGTATTGAAAAATTAAACATAACATTAATGGGCTTTAGTAAAGGCTGTGTTGTTTTAAATCAATTATTACATGAATTTCACTATTATCAAAATAAATCAGAACCTGATATGAACATTAATAATTTCATAAATCTTATTAAAAGTATATGGTGGTTAGATGGTGGGCATGCAGGTTCTAAGGATACATGGATTGTAGATAAGCCTATATTAGAATCTCTTACAAAATTAAGTAATATACTTTATCAAATTTGAAATTTTTTTTTAGAGAATTCTTTATTAACTTTAGATTTAAAAAATCTATATATCATTTTAGGAATGGACATTCATGTTCATGTGACACCATATCAAATTAAAGATTCTCATCGTCCATGGATTGGTAAAGAAGAAAGTCTCTTTTGTAATATTTTACAAAGTATGAAAATTCCTGTAAAACGAACTTTACATTTTGCAGATAAAAAAAGAAGTTTACAAAATCACTTTAATATTCTTAAAGCTATTAGAAGTTATGCACAGTAATTTGTTATGTACCTTATTTATAATTTTTGAGAAAATAATACTATTAGATTAATTACAAATATTTTTTTACAATAGAACCTCTATCATTTAAATTAATTATATAAAATTAATTATATAAAATATTAAACTTCATATATAATTCTATAATTTTTCATAAAAAAAATAAATAAAAGAAAATCCATAATTGCAAGAAATTTTATTTTTTTTTTTTTNAATAGAAATTCAATTGCATGTTTCATATTACAATATACAATATTATGTATTATATTAAAATTTCTAATAACTTAATATTTTAATATTTATACATAAAAAATGTTTCACAATATATTTTTTATTACATAATCTTTTTTTATTATATCATCTAATCAGTATTTTTAATGAAAATTTTTAAATATTTTTATGATAGTTTAAATAACATTTCTATAATTATATAATACAAATAGTACATTTCACAAAATACAACTTTGTACATTATAAAACTTAATCTATTCACATATACACACAATAGAGTAGATATAGAAGTATTAATTTAGATTAAAAAAATTATAGAAGATCAGAAAAAAGATAATTTAAATTAAAAGATCTATATATAAAATAAGAATTTTCTATAGATGTTTTAAACATATATCTATATATGTTTCTTTATTAACATCTATTTTGACATTTAGTACGATAATAAGTTATACTTCCAGACTCTGAAACAAATAATTGCTAAATAGAAAAACAATATTTAATTTATATATATATATATATATATATATTATATTATTAATAATTAATGTCTAATATAATGTAAATTATTTAAATTTTATGTAGTTTTTTAATAAATATATTTACCATTATTTAAATGTGATATTTTAATTTCAGCCCATTCATCAGATCCATCGCAACAATCACAATATCCATCATTAACTTTATAAGATGGTATTTTTACTAGGATTTATAAAATTAAAGATTTATAAAATTAAAAGAAAAATAAACATATAATAAAATATAAATTATTAAATACCTATAGATTGTGAAGATGAAAGTTCACAATTAAAGATACCATTGTTACATGCATTGGTACCAGGTTCATCACTACCATCCACAGGACAATCACAATAATTATCATTAATTTTAATAAAATCTATTTCATCTTTTGATACGACACAAACAAATTTTCCTCGCACATTTGGTAAATATTTTGAAATATCTTGATCACGTGTACCACGTAATGATACAGTTCGACCATGTTTATCACGAAGCAGTTTTGAATGTAATGGTTCATTCCACTTTGAATTTACTTTACCAGTAATAATATAATTAGATGTTCGTACAGATCCACTTATTAATTTTCCTACAATCGCTTGATTAAGTTCTTTGAAATAAAATAATTGGTGTACAACGAATATAATAGCAGCTATGAAAACACAAATTAATGTATATTTCAATCTTTTTCGCAAAAATCGACGTTTCCAAGAAGTTTCGGTTTTCATATTTATCGATTTTTTATAGTAATTATTTAATATTATATTTTTTTTTAATAATTAAAGATATTTTTAAATCAATGTTTTTTTCAATAATAATTTGTTTCTGTAATTGTATAATTTGTTATCCATATCTTATAATGAGCTTAATAAAATATGTACTTTTTAAATGAAAGATCGCATCACAAATTATTTACAAATAATCAGTAATTCGTTCTATTTCTTTTGAACATAGATAAAATTAACCTGTGAAGGTTGTTATATAAATGAAGTTGTCTACAATTATCGAAGGAATTATCCAATTATTGAAACAATTTGAATTTGATGAGAAAATTAATAATTTTATTAAAATATATTATTAAAAATATTTTTAGAATCACATATTATATGTTATATCGATCAATATTTAACATCAATATTAGAAATTTTATATATATATATGCAATATAGAAAAATTTATATATAAAATATATATAATATATGAATTTATATATAAAATATATATAGAAATATATGTAAATTTTATAAATAAAAATTCGAAAACAGACAAATAGACATATATTTATAACATATAATAATCAAATCGAATCTGTTAAAATTTTTAATAACTTAAATAAGAAAGACAATAAAGTCAATTGGCGATTTCTTTTGAACTCCTCTTCTCTCACAAATTTTATAAAACAAATATAGACAAGAACATAATAAATTAAGAACAGAGAAATAAAATATAAGAGAATAAAATAAAAAATTGTGAAATCAACATCTTTATCTTTAGAAAATCGCAAATAAAATTTTATATATAAGGAAATAAGATAAAGATAAGAATTGATCATTAACGCTATTTCTTAAATTCAAAAATTTTTTTAAAAATATTCAAGAGATGGCGCTGATGACCAATTCTTATCCTATCTCTATCCTTCTATTATTTGCTACCTCATGTAACTAGTTTTATTTGCTCCAATTCTGAAAATGATATTGATTTCATAATTTTTTAAATTCTTGTCAATTCGTGAAGAATTTCGAATATCTTTTTATTTATTTTATATATTCATAAGATTCACAAAAATTATAGATAACAAATTAAAATTTCACTATAAGCATATGAAAAAAAAATTAAAATGTTAAATTAAAAATAATGAGTATTTATGAAATTTTGTTTAATAACAAATAATTATTATTATTATTAATATTGATGAGATTAACAAATATAATGAAAGCTAAAAGTTATTTTAATCTTTTTTTAAGCATACAAGTAATTTTTTTTTAATGTTAAATTTTACAATTGTAAAAAAAAATCAATAATTGTAATTTTATAAATGCAAAATTGAACAATGTTTTAATCAATACATATGAAATATAATATACTTAATATTAAATGCTACTCTGATTGTAATTTTTATGATAAAATATTGAACTGTTTTGAAAAAGTTTTTGAAATCTATTTTATCATATATTACAATGTAGAAAAAAAATATGTAAAAATTGTTGAATAATTCATAATATATAAACGAATTGTTGCAATACGTTAATATATTTTTGAGGAGAATAACACAATTTCTTATTACATTGGTCTTCCCATGCCACGATTCATTGGAGCTTGTGGTCCATTATCTTGACTACTTCTAGGATTTTTTATAGTTTCGTCAACAGATAAAATTAAACATGCTGCTTCAGTTGCTGCTGTTAGAGCATTAATTTTTACAACAGCAGGTTCCCATACATAAGCTAACATGTTATCACCAATATCTTCAGTATTGATATCAACACCATAAGTATGCATGCCTTTATGTTGTTTTTGTCGCAATTTATTTAAAATATTTGTTGCATCAAAACCAGCGTTATCACATAATTGTCTGAAATTATTATTATTTTGTCTGAATTATTATTTTCCTATAAAATTTAAATTTGAATAATGAAATAAAAATTAAAAGCAAAAATGTGTACCTTGGTATAACTTCAAGTGCACGAGCTATTGCTCCAATTAAAAGTTGTTCTTTTCCTGCTATCACACGAGAATAATCTCGCAATGTTTTTGATAATTCCATTTCAATAGCTCCACCACCAGCTACATAAGCATTTGTTTTAAATAATCGTCTTACAACCATTATAGCATCATGCAAAGATCTTTCAGTTTCTTCTAAAAATTGTTCCGCTCCTCCACGCAATATAAATGTACATGTTTTAGCACGTGATCCTTCATAGAAGAAGTTAAATCTAAAAAATGATTATTTTGATATAAAATTATTGATAAAATAATTTATTGAATTTAAAATACCTTTCTCCTCCAATTTGCCTCTCCTCAAATGTTTCACATCTACCAAGATCTGAATCTTTAATGTCATGTACAGTTGTTAGAATATTTCCGCCACATGCTTTCATTGTTCTTTTTAAATCTTCTTCAGGAACTCTACCTGCACAGAACATATCTCGATCTGCGAAATATTGTGTAGCAACATCACCAATTGGTAATTTCGACAATATAACTTGTGCTCCACTTTTATGGATTTTGTCAAGTTTATCATATAAAATTTGCCATTCAGCATCAACTATTTTTTGATATTCCGTAACATTATCCACGCGTATTTCAGCGTTATCTCTTTCTGCTTTAAGTTCTAATTCTATATTTAATAAAGCAATTTTACAATCTTGATATTTTTTGGGTTGCATTTCAAATCCTGCATAAGAAAATGTTTTTTTAAAAGCTACTCCTTTAACCAATTCTGAATCTTCTAATGCTCCACCAGAAACCTACATAATGTATATAATGATGAATAAATTTAATATAACATCTTTTATAATATCTTTTATAATATTATTAAAAATTAATATTTTTATATTAATTTTTAAATAATGTTAATAAATTATATTAATTTTTAAATAATGTATCAATACCTTTTTAATACCAATCATATTAAGAGGTAACATTTCATCAAGCATCATAATAGCTTTTACAACCATACGACTGAAAAGCTCTTTTTGCTGATGAATTAATTTTGAACTCATAGATGTAGCTGCACATTCTTCTAGAAGTTCCACTAGTTTTGTTTGATCAGATTTATCTATTTTTACACTCACTGCATTTATTTTATCAATTGCTATTTGAAGTGCTAGGCGAAGAGCTTTAATCATAATGCGTGGATGAACTCCTTCCTCAATAAATGGTTTCATTTGCTTTAAAAATTCTCCTGCTAATAAAACTACGCTTGTAGTACCATCACCAACCTATAATGTGAATGATAATTAAAATATATGCAAAATATTTGTAAAATGAATATAATTTAATATGTTTGAACACTATTGAGATAACTATATATCTTTAAAATGTTATCAGTCTATAAGTTCTTAATATATTATTCTCTGTAAATTAGTTAGTAATGTTATATTTTAATCACATTACTATTTTTATTTTTTACAGAATTTTTATATTATTTATGAGATATTATTTACCTCTGCATCTTGAGACTTTGCAATATCTACTAAAGTTTTAGCTGCAGGGTGAATAATTTCTAGAAGCCTCAAAATGGTAGCACCATCATTTGAGATAGTTGCTTTACCATTTTGATCAACAATAAGTTTATCCATTCCACGAGGACCTAATGTAGTTCTTACAGCATCTACTACTACTTGACAAGCATTTATATTTGATATTAATTGTTGTTTTCCTTGTGCAGCATCTGTGCCTTCTTTAAGTAAAATTATTTGCGGTTGCTATAAAATATATATGTAAATAAATTATGTATTCATTATTAATAATATTGATTATAATAATAATAATAATAATAATGATAATATACTCTCATATATCTTCCCATTTTTATTATTTTATATTTAAATGCACATGTGGTTTTATAATATTATGGCAACAAATATGAAGTCTGTCAAATTTTAAGACAAGTGAATTAAGAATTAATTTTTTTCTTTTGTTATTATATAAAATATTCACAATCAATATTCTATAAACTAATCAATATTTAATAGTATTTAAAATTTGAATATTTTATAACACATTAATTATATTGATTTCATATACAATATGGAACTAAGCCGAAATTAATCGCCATATAAGGTTAGATCAATTCAAACTATAATACGATTTTCATTTTTATATATATATTTTAATTTATTATTGTGATCAATAATATATCTGTATATAATTTTTCATTAGTATCGAAAAAAATTATATACTTTGCTTATATAAATCAAATTAATTTTATAAATTTCTCTTATAACAAAATCGCCAATATAAATTCATATTTTTGAGTAAAAGTTTTCTATTTTTATAAAAATTTTATATTCTTTGAAATAAAATATTTAACTTATAACTTACCATTTTTATATTTTGTATTACAATTTTTCAATTTTTTAAATATTCGCTCACTACACTTGAGCAAAGTACTTGAGTAACCTGTAAATAGTATTCGAGATGATTCTGCTAGAATACAAGCGTTAAGTATCGTTCACACTTAACGGAAGTAAATCCATCAAAAATAATTGACCAATAAAAATTTGAGATTTAAATTTGTTAACATAATATATCATGTAAGATAATATAGTTGTAGTATATTATTTGAGATAATTTAAATTTTAATTTTTAAAATAGATAATTATATAAAAATAAAAAATAAATATTATTATTAAAGTTAAAATATAAATTGAGATCTTTAAAAATATAATTATTTTAAGTGTTAATATATTATAAATTCAATATTTTCTAAATCAATAAAAAATCAATAATAATCTAAAGAAATTAAATAATCATTTAATATTTAACTTTTATTAATTTTGAATTTTCTATTAGATTATTTTTTTTAAATTTCTATAGAATTTCTATAGAATTTCTTTTAAAATTTGAAAATATTTTTTTAGAGATAAAAATTTTTTTTACAATAAATGTTTAATAAATATTTGTATAATATTTCATGTTTGTATTTCACATATTTTAAAATTTAACAATTGTTTAATATATAGTGTCTATCTAATATTAGCTATTTAATATAAAATTTTTGTAATATGGCTTGAATAGTATAGATTAAATAAAAAGATTCTATTTATCTGTCAAAAAAGAGATAAGTGTTAATTAATATCGTAAGAGAGTAATATAATTTGTGACTTTTCTATATTTATTATAATAAAATCAGAATTTATCATTTACTATATATTTATTTTTAAACATTGAAATTGCCTGTTTTATTTTTTGATTGTATACGCTTATTTATATATACATATAGATAATACTACACAATTATCTATTCTGGTGAATAGCTAAATTATTCTAGTAGTACTAGAGTTAGCTTTCAAACGGAATGTTCAAGTTTCTAAAATTTCTCTCAGTAATTAGTAATTCTAAAAAGTGTATATCTTGTTTTCTATAATATTTTTAATTTTTAATATATTTTAGTAAGAATATAGAGTTTTATATGTTTTAGATCAAGATAATTTTATTGTCGAGGTAAAAGAATATACATATACATATATATACATACATATGTATATATTTTAATCTTGCATTACATTCTTTAGTATAATTTCACATACTTACCTTTCTAAAATTATTTGGTTCATTTTCATATGATTGTTCAGTATTTTTTTTTTTCTTTTAATATTTGCATTTATACTCGTCGTTATTAATTTTATAAACTTTTTTATTTATCTACAAATGTTAATTTGGAAAAAATTTAAGATGATAAAAAATTCAAGTTGTTAAAGATATGAAGTTAGTATGAGTTACATGAAATATTTATATATCCAAATATATATAATATATGTATTGTATCATCTTACATGCTGATTTTATATCGTTGCACATGCGTAAAATGACATCCACCTGATGCCAATGAAAAATCGATATGTTCGAAATTTTAACGCGAAAACTTTGACTATTCTGTCAGTAGTTAATAGTAAAATCTTGAATTTGATGGATCTTGAATAGTAAGTAAACGATCACATATATCGTCAGTATATTTCTTTTAATGATTTCCAATTTAATTTCACAAAACATTGTTTTAATTTTTTATACATTTATAATCGCGCCATTTTTATTGTTTATTATTATTATTACTTAATATACGTTAAACAAAATTCCAACAATTAGTTATCGTGATTATCAAATTTTGAAGATTATCTATATTCATATAATTTATATAATTTTCAATTAAAAATCTTAAACTATATTATTATAAATTTTATATATATTCTTTTATGAATATTTTTTTTATTAAAAATCAATATTATTAAAAATCTTCTATATATTTTTTTTCATTATATTTATATTTTTAATGCTATATGTAATAGTATAATTGCAATACATAATAGTTACTGCAAGTTAAATAAATTCTATATTTTATTTCTATAATTTTTCTATAATATTTCTATATATATAAGAATATATATAAGATAGCAATAAAATTGTATAAGAATAGCAATAAAATATATAACATTGTTTGGTATGTTAAATTGTTACGTAAAACAAATTTTGGATGCTTTAAACCATTTTTTTACGATAAAAACATTAACAGGTTATGTAATATATAAAAATCTGTTATATGATATAAAAATTAATATTGAAATTTTGAAATATTGAAATCTATTTCTTAATGATAAAAATTATAAGATTTTAATAATATTTTTTTAATTTATTTTTGTAGAGAGCATAAAATTTTAACTTTTTCATTATAAACAAGCACGAAATAGTTATCGCGTTTATCATTCCAGTGATACCAATCAAAAAAGAAATAATAACAAATTCCATAACAAATTTTGCACAAATTGTATTTTAAAAATTATATAAATTGAATATAAATTAATAAAATATATTATAAAAAAATAATATAATTTTAAATATTCGAAGACTGATAAAAGTAATGAAATTTTTAATATAATAAAAATATTTTGTATATTTATAAATATATATAATTAATTATTAATTTAAAAAAAAATATAATCGAAATAAAAATTCAAATTTGTAATGTTTGTAAATTTCAAAGAAATATTTTTATATGTACTTGAAGTTGAAAATAAATGTTAGCAAATATTTATAACACATATAAATGAAAATTAATTTATGTGATCATTGGATTGCATATATATATAATAATATATATAATAATATATAATAATAATAATAATAATAATACATAATTTTATTATAAAATATTCATGTATAAAAAGTATCTATTTATGTATATTTAGAATTATTAGAAAGAAGAGAATGAGAAATTGAGGAATATAGAAGCAAAATTAATGTTAGATATTGATCGATAAAATTGAAATATTTAATGATAAATGAAATATTTATATACTGATTAAAAATTTAAAAAAACTCGATGTAAAAAATTATAAATTATACAAAAGTTATAAACTTTTTTACTTGTAAAATTATAACTTTTTTATTTATAAAAATTATATAAAACTTTGTAGAAATTGTGAGAAAAAATGTTCATTATAAAATTATTGTTTGAATTTTCTTGCTAATATATATAATATATTCTTATTATATAGATAAAATTTTTTAATTCATTTGTACATAAATGATAGATTTTCGATATTCTGCAAGTTTTTATAATTTTTAAAAATAATAATGAAATTTATATTTTAATTTATTTTATATATATAATAAATTAACAATAAACTTATTGAAAAATATAACAAATTTTTATATTGTTAAGTATGTATAATGAAATTTTATATTTATATTTCATAAAAGAAGTTAATAAAAAAATAATTTAGAATTTGATTATGTATTTTTAATCAAATGATTTATTGTGATTTTAAAATAGAAAAATATTTATTAATTTTTTTTTAATATTTATAACTTACATTTTTATGAATGATTTTAGAATGCTAAATATTGTAAAAATTTTGTTTATTATTTAAACTATATATGATATTGATTATTTAACAAATTCTTTTATCATATATTTTGCAAACATCATTCATTAAGTATCAATTATTATTTCTTAAGACTAAATATATAAAATTAATAACGACGAATAGTGCCCAAGTTTTTGTTAACAATTTTTCTAAATAATGGGATATTTTTCATATTTTTAATATTTCTATAATTATATTATAGAATCAATTTTGAAAGATTGAATTTTGAACATAATTATTACATTATAAATATGGAAAAATTAAATAGTTTCGAATATTGCAATATGTATTGTGAATGAGATATATAAAGATGTATGTAATTTGAATCTCCACTTTTGGAATAATTCATACATTTTAATATTATCCCATAATAATTTTTTTATAATTTTTTTATAATAATATTTTTTAAAAAACAAATTTAACAAATTTTTATTTTGTAGCTTAAATAGTCTATCTATATCATGTTATAAACTTGTAAAATTCATTTTATTACATAATAGATATATGTGTATATATATATATATATTCATAAATAATTTTTCTTTATTTCTTCATAAAAAAAAAATTTGTCTTCTTTTATAAAAAGAAAAGACAAACTGATATTTTATTTAATCTCTGAAGCGAAAATTAATAATATCTATAAATAAATATAACATGCAATGACAATATAGACTAAGCAAGTAAAATAAGATTTAAGGAATACAGATAATTTGCAAATTATGTGGTGGAATGATATTTATTATTGACTGATAAAAATAATCCGCATGTTGAATTAATTTTTAAAAATAAGTTTTCATCGAATATTTTTTATTTTAAATTTAAAATATTCAAATTCCTATTTATAAATAATTAATTTATAAATAAATTGACGAAATTATGAAACAATCAAAAGTATTAACATCCCATTCGCGTGTTTACTTACATTAATATATTTTATGGAACATTCACGCATCGATCATTTAAAAATTAACCAACCAAATTGCCATAAAAATTTTTGAGTTAAATTAATGCACAAAAAATACAATTTTATTAGGGCGAAAAGTAAGCATCAATAAGAAACATTTGTAAATCATATTTTGAACAAGAACATATTTATCTATTGCACCGGTGCTATTAACCAATTTTGAAAGAATGAAGATTATTTGGATAATTGGTGGACCAGGATGTGGAAAAGGAACACAGTGCAAACGAATTATTGAAAAATATGGATTTTATCATATAAGCAGTGGTGATCTATTACGGGAGGAAGTTGCCCGTGGTAGTTCTCGAGATGCTTTTCTACAGGAAACAATGTCTAAAGGTTTATTTGTCTCAACGGTAAATTATACTTTGTAATTAAAAGTAAAAGTAATTTAAGAAGAAATTTATGCACAAATATTTTTCATGTATATCTATGTTTTATATAAAATATTAATGCATATATATTGTTATATAGATTTCGTTACGCACATTTCGTTGATTTTAATAACGTTGATATATGTTGTCAAGTTTAATTTAGCTTAATTTCATTTATATGCGGATATAATTTTACTCATGTATAACTTCTTATTTGTACATAATCAGATTTTTAATATATTTTATATAAATGATTTTTTCGTATTTTGCTTAGAAATTTATATAGAGCATAATTATAACTATATAATATCTATAATGAAAAATATAATTATCTATAATGAAAAAATTAAAAAAAAACTTTAATCTTTTCAATATTTAAAATGTTTTCCAATATTAGATATTTGAATAAATAAACGATAAGATAAATGAATATCTTTTATAATATCAAGAACATAAATATTTCGATATAAGCTATTTTTAGAAAATATATGAAAATAAATTTTAAGAATTATTTCTATTATTTTATTTTACAGATTAAATTATTAATTTTTTAAATTAATATTTTGAATTTTTCAGAACTTATATATATCATTTAATTAATGATGTAATTATAATAGTTATGTATATGTTATATATATCAATAAATATTTATTGTACATATATTTTTTGTATTGAAATATTTTTTGTAATAAATCTTGTTTTTTATTAGGATATTGTATTGGATCTGATAAAGGAACGAATGCAAAAAGTTAAACAAGAAAAATTAACAGAAACTGGATTTCTTATTGACGGATATCCCCGTGAATTGGGTCAAGGTCTTCTTTTTGAAAAAAATGTAAGCATTAACACAATCAATTATAAAATATATTTGTTAATAAACAATTTCTAAAAGAAATATTATTAAAATTTTATATATTGAAAATAATTTGAATAAATATTAAAAAGAATGTTACAAATTAATATTATATCGAAATAAGATTTATATTCATCTCATATGCGATTAAAATTTTTTTTTTATTTTTTTTCTTTCGAACTATATATCTATATCTATATTATACATTTCATAATGTATCTGTGTGATATATAATAACATGATATATGTACATGTATATAATACATAATAAAAAGAGCAAAAGCTGAGAAATTGATAATACGAGGAGAGAGAAAAAACAAAACTTTACATGTTTAATCAATTTAGGTGTGTCCTGTTGATTTAATCATTTTCTTTGATGCCTCGAACGAAGTATTAGAGAAAAGATTACTAGGACGTGCAGAAGTCTTAAAAAGAGCTGACGATAATGAAGAAACGATCAAAAACAGAATCAAACTATTTAATATGAATAGACATATAGAAATCATTGATCATTATAAAGACAAAGTTGTAAACGTAAGTATTTGTATGTTAATTTTCTATTTATAAATGATTTCTTATTTTTGCATGAATACATAAAATAATACATAAAATTGAAAATTATTTTATTTAGATCGATGCTAATGGCAATGCGGATGAAATATTTGATGAAGTTTCAAAAGTAATTGATACTTTGTTAAATAAATCTTAAATCATGTCAAATATAAATGTAGATCTTCACTTAAATCATCTAATCATTTAAAATTATACTAATCACTTTTTGTGAAGTTCTACAATAGATGATTCTATGATCTTGATGAATCAAAATGATTAAATCAAGAGATTTAATTAATATAAATTTATAAAAAATTTATTTTAACAAAATCTAACAAATTCTAATATATAATTAATGTAATAATGATGTATATTATGTTGTAAATTTGAAATATTGAATCTGTTATTAATAATATATTATAAAAAATATATACATCTATTTATTGAAAATCATTATAATTCAATATCATTACTTTAAGCTATCTGTTGAAAAGATTTTCATATTTTCCATATTTTTTAAAATATTTATCTAAGAAAATTAAAAATAATAAAATAAGAGATACATTTCTTGTTTTTGCTCGTTATATTTTATGGTTTTTATACATTAATTTTTTGAAGAAAGATTACTTTCTTTAATTAAATTTAAAAAAATTAATTATGATTTATTGTTATGTTGTATTATTATATGTTTCAATGTCTGTCAATTGTCTTAATTGGAATTCCGTATCTATTGTATATATATTGCGTTGATATACAAGTTAATTATCTTTATCCGACAATGAATTACATCTATGCATGCAATTATCGAGAAATATTCAAATTGTACAGAAAAATACAATTGTTGCATATATTCGAGTAAATAGTCAATTGGATAAAATTTTCTTGTGACTTTAAAAATTTTAGAAATGAAGAAAATAATTTTAATACTTTTAATATACTTAGTAGCATGTTTAATATTAAATTTAATTGTATGCGATGATTGTTGTGAAATTAATTCACAACAATTACCATATTATAAATTGGTAAAATCTAACGCTCGTTCGGATCAAGTAATACTTTCGAGGACGTTAATTAAAAATGTGAATGAATGTAGAAAATTTGCTTCGAACAAGAAAGCTTTAGCATTTAATTACGGCATAGAAAATAATGATGGTAAGATATCATTAAAAAAAAAAAATGTATATATATATATGACAATAATTGAATAATAATATGGAAATGCAAATTAGAAAATCGTTTTTATTTATATAGAATTCGATATTGGTATACATAATAGAAATAAATCATTGAGGAAAACATGCCAAGCACTTCAGTGTCCTGAGATTTATAACTTTACTACACTTGTACAAGATAAAAATTATAAATATTATAGCATGTATGCTAGTGTCATCCCAATTGGTAAATAATGTGGAAAGTAAAAATATTCAAACTATATTTTTGATAAAAATTTTTTAGAAATTATTTTTAGGTTCTGGTTTTACATTGACCTGCATCCCTAGGACAGGAATATTCGTATTTTCAAGCAATAATTTGAATTACAGCCAAGCCCAGATATCTTGTCAAAAAATAAATGCATCACTTGCTCATATAATTAGCGAAGAACGTACCAATGGACTTGCAAAATATATTTCATTAGACACACCTACTTTTGTTGGACTCAGTAATTATAACAATGAAAAAATATGGAAAAACGAATTTGGTATTCTATTGATAATATTTTATGAAATTAAATTTATCTAATTATTCAAATTTTTATTTTATTTTTTTCATTTAAAGAAAAATATTTTATTAATTTATTGATTAATTTATTAGTTGAAGATATTCAAAGATTATAATATATTTAAGTAAATTCATAATATTTAATATTTTCCTCATAAATTTTAGAAATTAAAAATAATTAATAAAAAAATTATACAATTTTAGGTGAATCACTTTCGTGTTTTAATTATAGAGCATGGGGAAGAGGACAACCATCTCATTCGGTAGGATGTGTTACACTTGTATCATCTAAATTAGAATTCGGACCTTTTTGGAAAATTGTACCTTGTGATAGCATCTTAACTTTTATCTGCGAAATTTCACCAATGTATCGATATCTATATAATTAAAAAATTAAATGCTTTTAATTTATAAATTCAAATGTACTATTATTACTTATATTATTAAATAATATTTAAAATAAATATTTTGCAATAATAAAAAAAAATTCAATTATTAAATTATTTATATTATAATTATATTATAAATATGAATATATAAATAAAGGAAAAATAAATATTATTTTTTATTTTATTATTGAAATATAAAACCATATAAAAGGATAAATTGATACATTAAGAACACAAATATTAATTATATACAGCAGTTTAATATGGTTACAAGTATCTTTTTCATTATTAACAGAAAAAAATTTATCCAAAAAATTATTTACATTTGAATTAATTTGAATTTATGGTCCATAAAAAAGAAAAAATACAATTTTCACTCTTTGATTATATACAATTCTACAACTATATTTTTAAAAATTGTGTTTTTTTCCATTATTTATTTATTATCTTTATTTATTATCATATATATTTTTAAATTGATTGCTTAATACATAAAATCAGTTACTAAGTTGTATCAATATTTTATTTAGTGTTTTAGTAGTAATTCAGTAATAATATAATAACAATTTGATCATATTAATATTTCATTGCTTAATAACATTTAATATAAGCAAAAAATTAATTTTTAAGATTTTATGCAAATAATATACATTTGAAACAAACGGTAAGTTATTTTGTTAAATATCAAAATTTTACATAAATAAAAATTTGCAATATTATATTTTATTATTAAATTCTTCAAAAAAATATATTTTTTTAATTTAAAATTTTATATGCACTAAGCAATGAAAATGAAATAATTTTCATTTACTTATTTCCATATATACAAACCAATTTATTTTTAAATTATTAATTTAAATTTTAAAAATAAAATAACATGCAATATAATTTTATATACAAAATTATTATATTTTTATAATAATTTTAAATTTCCTCCATTTATATTTTTCAAATAAAATCTTTTTAATACTAAAAATAATTGTATAATGTACACATGATTAATTTGAAGCATTTGACTTGCATTTTATAAATGATTTTATTTTTAATCTTTGATATAAATATATTTATAATCTATATCAAAGATTATTTATATAATTAAATATTTTAAATATAAATGGAAATATTTGTTTTTAAAATAGAATAAATAATTAGTTGAAATGCAAATATATGAGAAAAATTTATGTAATTTCACTTATATTTATAAAAATGTTAATACCATACTTTATTCACAATATCGTTGTTTTTTCAATTAATAATAATATTAAATAGTAAATAGTCTATAATGTTCTAAAGGAAGACAAAGTATTTTATTAAAATTATGATATTCAAATAATTAGAATATTACATTTGATCTAACTATACTTTAAATTTTAATTTCATTATAAATTTGAAGAAAATTGCTGTGTAAAAATAGTAAACTATAATTAATATTATATATGAAATTGAGAAATTTTTTGCTTTTACTTAGGACTATTATTGTCACATATTGTTAACTTGCAAACATGTATGGAATTTAAATTTGCAAATAGAAATGTTGATTCATAAAATGTAAACATATTACATAAAAATCTTATATTAATGCTTCAGCATTAATGTATAATATATAAAAGTATAAAAGGATTTATTATTGATATTCTTTTATATGAAGTTGTATGAAGTATCAATTATTGGACCTTTTTTTAATGCGGTCAATATGCTAAATTGTTATTAGATTAAATTGATTGTGCATAAATTTATAATAAATAATGCAAATGTTTCTATATTTTTATTTATAAAAATATAAAAAAGGAGAAAAAATATGAAGTAAAAAATAAAAACTAATGAATAAAAAGATACTTCTTTGATAATTATTTGTAACTTATATAATTATTGAGATTAAATTTGACCAAACTATCAATTTAATATTATTTATTTTGCATTGTATGCATTTATTGCATTTATTCAACATAATAATAAGTCAGAAATACTTAACACAATATCTATATAACATATAAACATATACATTATCATATATATGTACAAGTATAGATATTGCAAAAAGAAATCTAAGAAATTTTAAACATGATTAATGTAAAAATGTAATCAATTTATTAAAGAAATGTATACATCAAAAGAAGATTTTGAAATTTATTATGCAACAAATTTGTGCTTTCATTTTAAGTTTGGGGACGGATGCTACATAAAAGATACTTTCAAATAAGATCTATTTTAAGCATGATTCTTTAATAACATGTAGCATACTGATAATTGTAATACTATATATGAATATAGATATATTGCAATATTTGATTTACATATGAATTTTTTAAGGATCTTGTACTTGTGGTATAATTAGATTTTTTTAATAATTGAATGTATTATATTAATTCTATGAACAAATATAAATGCAATTAAATAGTATCAATTAAATGATATTTGACTATAATAATAATAATATTAATAATAATAATAATAATAATAATAATAATAATAATATTAATAATAATAATAGTAATAATAATAATAATTATGACAAATAAATTTGATGACAAAACAAACAAACAAATATAGTTACCAAAATTTAACAATTTCTAATATCTTTTTTCTTATTTGTAAAAAGAAAATATTTTATATTTTATATGAAATTATTTCACTCCACTCAATTATAATTATATTTCATTTAAATAAGCTACATTCAGCTGAAATGTGTAAAAATTTTATACAATACTAATATTCTATTTTATATATTACATTAAATATCATTCAAAATGTAATGATATAATTTTTAATTGAATTGTAAACTAAAATTATATAAATACATAATATTTTTAAATAGTAATATTGATATAATAATTTGAATGCATAATGTTTAAGATTTTATAAATTAATATATTTACTTAGATTTATTTATTATATTTTTATTTTTAAATATATTTACTTAGAAAAAGTTTGTATTGAAAGTTCTTTTATTAAAAAAGAAAAAAATTATTTGAAATGAATTGAAAAGAAAAATGAAATCATTACTTTTTGAAAGATATACTTATTAACAATGACATTCATAGTGACAGTATTAGTTTCATTGGCCCTGGCACTTCAATCCTATAATCACTGCAATCTGTTTGTATCAGACTAGAATTTTTAAGCTGATATATATAGCAGCTAAATTGCAAATTACTATAGGAATTTATTATTTTCTTTAATTCATTTATATTATTAGATATTTACATATTCGCACATAGCTAACATATGATCTGAAATAATGTGATTATAATTGGCTTGCTATTTTTTTTTTTTTTTAGATGAAAGGTAAGTATATTTCATCAAATACTGATGTAAAAAATTAAATATTGTTTTGTTTGTATTTATTTCATATATTTTTAATAATATCATCCTATACTTTTGTTAAATTTTGTTTATTTAAAAAAATAAAAAGATTTCAAATATTCAACAGTTTCGTGATTATATGGAACAAAGTTATTAATATGTAATTTTTTAAAGTGAGCTTTAATGTATTCTTTCACTTTTTTATTTAGGATAAAAATTATTATTCATAGTTTGCTGCCTCATTTAGTATATTATAATATGTGATATAAAGTATCACAAATATTTATTATATAGCACCATTCCAAGCTATTATATTAAACTTATTTCATTTGAAATAGGTACATTCAATACTTTTTTAATGTATTATTTCTTGAAACTCAATACTGTTAACGTTTTTATAACAAAATTATAAAATTATGCAAAGAAAAATTACATATATTGGCACTTAAGTTATTTGATGAACTTAAGAATAGTTATTATTATGTTGTAATGCGAGGCAGCTTTTCAATAAAAATATAAAATGCATAGTCTCTATTTGTTTATGTAATTTAGCAATTTAAGTACAAATATACTTCTATAGTTATGAGATGTAATTTAAGGAAATATGTATATCAGAACGATATATTAATTTTTAAAACATGGAAATGCTTTAAAATAAATCTCTATATATGTTTATATCAGGTATTCATTACTAAAATATGTTGTAAGTTTACCTTAATTAAGTAATGAACTAATAATTTTTTATAATTATAGGACAATTTGAAAAGTGTATATTACATATATCTTAAAAACATTTAAATGCTACTAAAAATAAAATCAAAGTACTAAATAAAGTACTTACAATACAATAAAGTAAATTATCATAAAAAAAAAAATTTTTTTAAGTCAGGAATGATATATGGAATATTTTGTTTAGTCAAATTAAATAAATACTGTTACTACAATAGCGAAACAAATTAAAAATGCCGCTACTAAAACGAATAAATATAAGAATTATACAGTAATTATAAACTATTCTTCCATATTGTTTGTATGGAAAATGAAATTAAAATAGCAGCATTTTATATGGTAAAAACATACTGCAAAATTTATGAGTTGATTAATCTGGGCTGTTGATTGACGAAGATGCAACAGGTACAAATTGTTCTAAAATTTGGCCCATTGTTTGTTGTAACATTGCTTGTTTCTCTTCTAAGGCAACAACCTATTCATATAATTTGATTTAATTAATAATTATAATTTAAAAAATATATTAAATATTATAAATTCATATAACAAATAATTTAATTTAGTTAGTTAACATATTGAATGCCATGAAAATCACCAATTATTCCACAACTTGTTATGTGAGATTACTTTTAGTAATATAAAATATAATTATATTTCAATTATTATGTAAATTCAACTTAATGTTGTAAATAATATTTTACTATATTATATATAATATTACATAATAATAAATTCATGATTGTTATAAATTGCAAATCATAATATTCATATAATATGAAATGCAGCATTCAATATATTAATAATTTTATAGTTTTTAGTTTAGTTAATAATTTTAAACAATTTTTAATACACTTACCCTTTCTAATAATTGATTATAAAGTGCAAATGGAACATAAGTAGGAGGCGTTCCAGGAGTAGTTGAAATTTGTTCAAGATGTGGAAATGAATCAGATTTCTGATTTTGACTTTTATCCTTTTGTTTATTTTCTTCGCTTTCTGCTTCTAATTTATTAATACAATCGGCGACATTCGTTGTCGTTAATACTCTGAATTAAAATTAAAAACATAAGTTAATTAAAAAATGTACTAAATCTATTAAAATATTCAAGTTTGTTTTGTTTATATTATATATATTATATATTGTATTATTTAATATTGTAATATTATTTATATTATATATTGCATATTATACTGTATTGTCTGTTTTTTGCACTAATTAAAAAAAAATGATTTTTATTATTTTTACAATTTTGATTTTTATTAAAATGATTATTATTTTACCGTGAACAAGGACGTTCTTTTTTTTCTTCAGATTTATCAACACGATCTACTGATACAATTTTTCTCCTTTCCAATTGATTTAATTTTAATTCTTCTACCTAGAAATAATAATATAAAAAATTATAAGTTTATATAATTAAAGAAATAATATCTATTATTATAATTATTATTATAAAATCTATCTGTAAATGAATTTATTAATAAAAATATAGAAATATAATATTGATAAATGTAAAAATAAAATATATTAAATTACCCAAGGAGCTCTTCTTCTTGCTTTTACAGCTAATCCTTCAGGTTCTTCTTCTCGTAATTGTTCTAACATAGTATCTGCATTACCATTTGCTAAACTATCTTCCTATATTATATAAATAATATATTATATATTTTAAGAAATACAAATATTTTAAATGGTGATTAATATATGTATTAGATATTAAACTAGTGCCAAAAAACACTAACAGGTGTTGTAGTAATTGTTGGTCCGGCAGCGTGGCGTCTTAAACGTTGTGAAGAAGGTGGTCGTCGGTGGGGTGCTTTAGCTCTAGAAGCTGTTAAATGCGAAAGCGGTGCTCCTTCTCCTCGTTCTACCCCATCTAACTCTTCACCCAAAGCTATATTTGTATTTCCATTACCATTATTAGTTCCCGCATCACCTACGAGACGTTTTAAATTCGATGTAGCTGAATATCCACCTATATTTTTCCTTTCTCCACTATTTCCTCCAATTCCTGAAGAAGTTGATGTTGTAGAAGATACGCCTGTTGATATTGTTTTTTTAGTTATATCTATGGTAAAAATATCTCACCAGTTAAAAAAAAAATAAATATCTTACATATGATTTTCATAATAAAAATTTTCATAATTTTAGATAGTTAAAAGAAGAAATCAAATACCTGTAGGTACATCTTTTACATCCAAAGTTTTTTTAATGTGTGTTTTTCCATTCTTCTTTACCTGATGAGAATGTTTTGAAACAGACTTAATAGGAGCTTTAAGTTTTTGTTCATGATCTTGGTGATCAGGTAGAACATTTAATACTTCAACAAAATTATCAGGAAATAAACCTACTTGACCATTTAATTCTCCTACCCACCAACCCTACAAATAATTTCATATTTATGACATAAATATATTCATATTTTTTTTAATTTAATTTATAACAAATGCATATAAATTGTATTTAAATAATCGTACCTTATCAGAGGCATTTGTAGATAGAAGAGTTATTATATCTCCTTCATTTAATGTTAATTCATCTACATTAACAGCTTCATAAGGAAAAAGTACTTTGCACAATTTTCTACTCTCTTGATCTTTGTGTTTGTCAGATTCTTCATAAACTGGAGGAGATACAAAATTTGAAGGAAAGACACCCACTCTACCTTTAAGCCTACCTCTCCACCATCCCTCTTCTATTTCACCCAAAAATTCTATAGAATCTTGTGGTACTAAAGTTAATTCATCTTTATTACAAGGTTCATAACTAAAAAGAACTTTACAAAATCGTCTTCTAGATCCTCCATTTTTTAAGGAAATATCTTCAGATTTGGCATTAGCAGCTCCTTCATTTACTCCACTTCCTGTACTTCCAACTGTTCCACTTGAAATAGGTTCTAATACCTATATTTGAATATAACTATTATTTAATATATATAATTTATATAAATATTTGTTTTATACTGAATATTTAAATAAATTTTATTTTTTATGTATTATATTGATATCATAATTATAATATTATAAATATTAAAAGAAAATTAAGTACATAAAAAATTACATACTTTGACAAAGTTATCAGGAAACATGCCACGTTTATCTCTTAAAGTGCCTTCCCACCAACCACCTAACATCACTTTAATTTCTGTAATAATATCTCCCTTTTTCAAAGTTAATTCATCAGGTTCTTGTGCTTCATAGTTATATTCTACAATTGCCTCCATATTTTTATATTAACAGTAACTTTTTAACACATGAATATCACAACCTTGTATCTGTAAAAAATATACAATTTATATTAGAAACATTTAAAATAATTATAATTTATATGTTATGTATAAATTGAGCACGTAAATGATGAATAAATGACAACACGAAGATTTTAAATAAAGTCACTTTTCTCGAATAAAAATTTGATAGATTAATTTATTTACATGAGCAATTCAGAATAAAATTTTTAATCGTTTTCCTTGTAGCGAGTTCGTATTATAAACGAACAAATTATTCTCCGCGAAAAAACAGATTGAACACAGAATGTAACATACGTATGAGTTAAGACAAATTGCGCGTTTGTAAAAGTCATTTGTTCCTCATGCATCCTCCACCTTTCATGTCACTACACGTACTTATTATACTCATTTTATTATAATATCTAAGAAATATGATGTTGTAAACTGAAAATTTAGGCGTATCCCATATTCGGTTAACAGCTCAATATATCTGTCATCGCGGCCATTTTGGACTCCAAGCTCAAGTGAACTTCAAGATGCAATTTGTGTGTAAGGTGCGCATGCTAACCTATCGCTGACTCAAAGAACGCGCCAAACAATTCATGATTCATTTTTACTATATATGTGAAGTTCGTCAATGAATATTATTTTATGAGATATTCAAGATTATATGAATACGTTGATAATTTACAAAAAACATTATTAATTGAATTATGATTATTATTTTATATGTAATTATCATTGATTTAAATATATACATAGTTTTGAAAGATGTAGGTTACCTACCGATAGTTATCACAGTTAGTATCAAACATTTATATATATTTTAAGAAAAACGTTCTTCTAGTTATGACTTATTGTTTAATTTCAAGCGGTTGATTCATACTTATCGAGTACCTCCTATAATAAAGACTCTCACGTATCGAATATGCGCAGAGCATACAAAGTTTTCTGTATACCTAACGTTTTGAGCGATTCTTAATGAGGTCAATTTATAAAACATTTCATAGTAATATTATTTGATATATCACATAAAAATCTGATTTCAATTAAATTTTTTAATAATTAATATTATAACAAAATATTAAATATAATATTTGATAATAATAATTGAGAAAATATATTATTATTAATAAAAAGTATATATTTTATTTATAGCTGAATTAAACATCAAATTGAACAGATATTACTCAAAATGTATATTTATAGCTATCGATCAAATTGTTCAAACAAAATATGTAGAATATTCTTATATTCTTAATATATAATATGTATGTGCAATGATAAGAAAAGCTGTTAATTTTATAATTAAATTATATTTATTATATTTATTATTTTTTTATTATATTTATTATTTTTTTATTTTATTATATTTTTTTTAACATATTATGTAAAAAAAATCATTATATGAATCCTATGACTATATATGTATTATATATATATAATCGTAGTTTACATTACCTTGAGTTTGATAAGATTTAAATAAACATTGTGTTATTATCACTATCGTATGAGAATTGTAAATAATTGACTAAATATCTTATTACAAAATTAATTAAATCAATTTTAAAAATTAAAAAATGTATGAATAAAATTTACGCGGTTTATTAAATATTTGCAGTATAAACGAAATATAATTGAAAATGAATCAAACGTAAAAGTGCATATAAGTGAAATGTCATCATTGTGACTTTATATCGTACGATTCAACGAATATTATCAATATTGATAAATACTATCAATTCTCATATAAATTTTCAATAATCACATAATCGATCATTTTATATTTAACAATCTAATTTAACAATCATTTTCAATAATACACTTCATCAATATGAAAATTTGCTAAATAGATACAAATTGCATTAAAAATATGTATGTGCTCAATACAATAATATTATAATATTCATTATCAATGTAATTATCAATGTAAAATTGCAACATTATATTACAAATTGTATTGAATCTAAGATTTGCAAGAAGATGTAATTTATTAATTTTGCGTTTACATATCGTATGTATAGGTTAATTTTTATCTGACAATTTCTTTTGATAATAGATTATTGATGATAATGATTCTTTAAATCCATGAATTTATTTTATGATGCAAAAAATAAAATATTTTTGTTTCAACCAATTTTCATTAACCAAGTTAACTTTTAATATATTAACTAAGAGTTATAAAAAATCAAATATCTATCATGTTTTGTGATGTTTATATAAGTATATATAAGTTTATATAAGTATATATATTGTCAATTTCTTTATATTCTTCTTTATCATTTTTAATATATAAGAACAAAATGAAAAGAAAATTAATTAAAATGATAAACATTAAAAATTAAAAATTTGAAAGAAATCTTGTAAGATAGATATATTTTATTACCTAACTGTGTGAGTTTCTCTTTTTTTATTTTTTTTTTTTTATAAGATGTATTGATATTATAAGATATTTAAAAAAAAAGAATATATATATAGTTTCTTATGATATTTTTCAAATTATCATAAGAAATTAAATTCTTATATAACTTATTTAAATATAGCATCAATTTTGAGAATTATGAACAATTTATCATCATGAATATTAATGTAAACATATGATTTTTTATATGATTCCCTATATTATACATATATTCATGTATATTGTAGCTTTAGAAATATGAATCTTTCAAATTCTTCAGTGTGTGCATTGTTTCTTTGCATTAAGTTTTAAACAGAGGCACATAATTGAATGTTTTTTGTCAAAATAGAAATTAAATTAAAATTCTGCGTCGAAATAAAATATTATAACATTAATTTAATAGATTGAAACATTTAAAAAATTTAAGAAAAAAGAGATTAATAAAATAATTTTTAAGAAGAAAATAAAAATTTTATCTTAATGATTAATAAAATTTGAGGATAACAAAGGTAACGATTTTTGATTGATTAAAACAGATTTTTTTAAGAATAATAAAACAATATTCTACAAAAGATCGAACAAATGAAACACAGCCGAACCATTTAATCATCCGTTCGTCCATGATCGAATTCAACGATAATGTATAATGAGAATTCCTTTACATTCTTGATCGCTTATGCAATAAGGAAAATTAATTTTGACATACATGACAAATTTCTCATTAACGTAGAAATTTGTGACAATCGTTATTTCTTTCGATTATTTATCCATAAAATAACGTACTTACAATTAATCTTAAATTTTCATTTTTTTCTATCTTTTGCTATATTTCTTTTCTCTCATAATTTCTTTTTTTTATTCTCTCTTCCTTTAATCGTTGATGGTTATAATGAAGGCTTTATTTCGTTCTTGTTAGCATAAACGAAGAGGAGGAATATATTGGTCTTACATCAAGCAATGACCATATATCTATTTAACTACAGAAGTATTGTGCGATACTTGCAGTCAGTGATTAGTAATGAATCAATGCATCACTCTAAAATATATTATATAATTCTATTATTTGTATATATGAATATTTTCACTATATCGCGTAATAATACAATTCTGGTCTCAAACGAATTGTATTTAATATTATCCAGCATTATTCCTTCTCATCATTGTCTGCATGCGAACAAAAACGATCGACTACGATCAAAAATGCATTCGCATGTTCGAATGAAGCGATGATACACCTGACTTCTTGGTATCTTTTCATATATTATTTTAATTGTTAATTTTACAATCAAATCCATCAGGTGTGTCCATAATGATTATCAAAGCGCATTAATCAAAAATTGATATTGCGTGATTTTGCATGTGATTTCATTGATGTATAGATAAACTTTGAAAACTTTGTTAATATTTTGTGCAAATGTTTAATCAATCGTAGAAACAAACGTCGTTAATTTCGACAATTATAATAATTAATAAATATTCATTTTACATTTGGTACATTCCAAATCATTCAATCGATTTAATAATTTCTCTTTCTTAATTAAATTTATTTTAAATCTGATATTAGATTCAAAAAATAGTAATTTTATGATAAAGAGAATTTTATTAATTAATTATTATTTAAATTGGCATTATGTAATTATTATTTAAATTAAATGCTTAATAATAATTTAATTATAATACTAATTATATATTGATTGGATAAAATTTTCTTTAATTGCGATAATCAAATATTTTAATCTTAATCATTAATCGTATTAAACATTGCTCATCACTACATTAAATTAACTATACAATAAAGGCTACATTATATCTGTATATCAAGAAATCTCAATGCAGTTGAAATCACGCATGCTTCTCCGATAGTGGAAAAGCGATGGTCCTCCGTTAATAGTTGGTAATCTGTTTATCTTCTTGCACGTGTGCCGTAAATATAATAGCAAATATGATTGCGCTTAAATGCTTCTCATGTGAATGAGATTATATATTTAAAGCAACAGAAAAATGTTGTATATCAACATCAATATCTGTTTTTTTTAGGCCTTATATGAACATTAAGTGAGTTTATCTAAATGTTTGTACTGCTCGTGTTATTCGATCGCTGCGTATATGTATTTATGTAAATTAATGTAAAATAATTATAAATCATAAAATTAAATAAATTTTTGCCCACGTTTTTTCCGCTGAACTTAATTGGCTATTTATATATTTTCACTGCCATGAAAAACATGCTTGAACTTCGAAATAACGATTTTTTGAAGGATCAATGATTAATTTAAGTGAAATTTACGAGTAAAAATTGTGTGCAAAATTATTGCTAACAAGCAAATTGTAACATGATATATTTTATAATACGATCGAGTTTAAAATTTTATAAAATGTTTCTTGTACAGTTGCACCATATTTCGCTGATTACGAACGTTATACATCTATCGTAAATTTATTAATGTGCTTCAGCCTCTTTAATTTCCATATTATTAATAATTATTACAAAGCTTATTTGAAGTTTTTCACGTTTCTTTTCGTAAGGAACGTTAATGACCCATGGAATATCGCCAGAATATTATTTTCTTTTTATCTAAACAGTCATACAGTAATTTCAATATTTATCACTTTCAAGTTATTCCCGACGATTTACAATAATGAATCACGTCAGGTGTTGATCGTGTGTATGTGCAAATAGTATAACTCGAAATTACTTCATTGCTTCATTGCAATTGTAAATAGACATCTATCGTATAATATTAAAGATAATTTAAGTAACTGTTTCGATTAACGTTAAAAATGAAATTTCAGCTTGTTAATACATCACATTGAAATTGTCAAAACGTCAGAGCATACGTTTATGTAAAGTACAAGTCTCTCTTTTCAGCAATAATGCTTAGCATATATAATATAATTGTGCTGTTGTTATGTATATACGATTTGCATTGCTCTACTTGTAATAATGCTCGTGTAATAATCGTACATTGACACGCAAACGTGGTAGGATTACGTCCAATGAATTGTATCAGTTGTTCGTCGATTGAAAATCATTAGAGAACGAAGGTGCAAAATTCACGACAATATTTGCAATGTTTCTTAGAATATTCGTGATGAGTGTCATTTTAGATAGTTATATCATAGACGTACACACGTAATATCTATTTTTCTACCCTTGTTTCTCCTAGATGCCATTTATAATACTTCACAAATTCGTTCGCATTATACATGTATAGGGTAAACTCTGCTTAGTTTACGATACTTTTTCATTTATCTCTGATACGAAGTTAAAATTTAAAAATCGTTTTATATACATAATAACTAATTTTTTTATTATCTGAAGCATTTAATTAATGATCGTTAATTATCATATGCTATAAATATGTCTTTCGATCACTTCAATCAGTCTCGATGTAATTTTCAAATAAATTGAAAATAATTAATTTAACTTAATATATTATTTAATATCAATTTAAATTAATATAAGTTCTGTTTATCGTTGATATTTAAATTATTTTATTGGGAAAAAACACAAATTACTAATATTTCTGCTTATAACACTTCAATAATTAATAAGTTTTCGTGTTAGAGTTTGCTCACTTGTAATAATTAAATATCTAATTATTACAAAATTATTAATTATTGAACGAAATTTCTTTATTTCTTGAAACAATTTTTTAAATATCCATTCCAAAAAAATTTAAGGGAAAAGTAAAATAGATCAAAGAACGGTTCCTATAAAAAAACAGCTCATGTATATATACTATAAATATTATAAAAATATAAAAGAAAAAATAATTTAAATAAATTGAATGTAATTTATGTGTTCTCATTCATTATCTATGCTAGAAATGTTAAATATTAAAATTAGTTGTACAATGGATATCCAAGTCATTCTTCAAAACAATTAATAATAATATAAATATATATCAATATAAATATAAATATAAGTTTATAACTTAATAATAATATCTATATATAATAATATAATAATAATATAATAAATGATATAATAATTCAGAAATATAATTTAATATTATATTTTTTAAAATTAAATATACTTAATAAATATCTGTTAATCTATTATTCGGCTATTAGCAATTGTTAGAAAAATCCTAAAATTATCATCGACTTACCAGAGTTTACCCCATATTTACATATAGAAATAACGCACTTTTCTCCTTACTTATTTTTTCTTGTGCGCAATCACGAAAGATAAAATCCTGTCCGCAATGAATACTTCGTATTTACTAATAGTCGAAGCATCGTCTCAATTCTCATAATTATAGAAACTAACATGCATTTGTGCATCTCCAAGATTCACCGGGGGTAACAGAGACTGAGACTGAGACGTGAGACGGTGATTGCTTCATAACAATATTGTTGGCTCCTTCCCTTTCTGAAGCATCGAACAAACTAGCCTGAAATCAAAAATTGCATTTATTTTAACAATATATATGCTTCAAAAAATCAAACAAAAAAGTTAATTTAAGTTAATTTAATTTAATTTTGTTTTTATAATCAATAAGCATTTGATCATATTGATAAATTTTTATAAATTAATCATTAATTTTTTTTATCGTTTATATAAAAATATAGAAATTCAGTTTTAAAAATTTATTTACTATTCATTTTTTTTTTAGTATTTAGAAACTTCGAAGTACGATATACAGTTTAAAAAATATTTTTTTGATATCTCGAACATTAGAATTGAAGAGTGGTTACGTGTATAGAAAAAAATTGTTTGTCATTTAAACAACAAATAATGTTTCTTAATATTTATTCGACGAGATAAGAATTTCTAATCATTTTTTATGAATCATCGATAAACCACACGACGTAAAACACGTTAATTCGTTTTAAAAATTACAATCGAATACATTTTGCATGTACGATAAGAGATATATGTATGTATTTAAGAAAGATAACGATACCCGGCGTCCTCGTTGTTCTCGTATTCTTCTAGCTAAAGTGAGAAAAGCTTCTTCAATATTTATGTTTTCTTTACAAGATACTTCGAAGAAAGGCATGTCAAAACTTTCAGCTATTTTCTGCCCCCTTTCCGCATCAACAGCCCTATTTGTAGTAACGTCACATTTGTTTGCCGCCACTACTTTCACGACATCCGGAGAGGCATTCTACAAAGAAAAAAAGAACAAAGAATTTTTGTTTAATCGAAATTCAGGAATTTACGCTTTCATTTCTTTATTTTTATGGAATTTATATTTAATAAATTTATTAAACGAAATATTATCTCGTATTCTTACTTCTTGAATATTTCGTAGCCAGTAGGATAAATGATTGAAACTTTCTAAACTAGTGACGTCGTACATCAGAAGGATACCCATAGCACCACGATAATAAGCTGTTGTTAGCGCTCTAAATCGCTCTTGACCAGCAGTGTCCCTTAAGAAGTCGATAATATATTAATAATAGTAACAATTAATTATATATTAACAGTTAATATGCAATGATTATATTTTGCAGTAAATTATCATCATTATTATTATTAATATTATGTTATCAAGTATAGTATACCCCATATTTGATATATTTGTATCAATATGTCACCAATTAATTATACCGTTTGAATTTGTAATCCTTGGAAATAAATATTTTTGATTCATATTAAATAATTAGATATTAATGCATTCATATTACAAAATATGTAGATAATATATAGATAGAAGATAGATAGAAATATATATTGAAGACAACTTGTTCGATTTTTTTTCCATTTTTCCGATTTGTAAAATCGATTGTAATACTATTTCCATATTTATCATCATACTAGATATTTTAAAGAGATAACTACGTATATTGGAAAATTGTGAGTATTTAAATAGGAATACTTGCACTATGAATAACATTTAATTACTTTGTAAAATAATAGAATTTTATTTATTTTTATTAATGGATTTTTTAAATATTTAAATATTCTAACTATACCTATAGTGAATAGAATATTTTCACATTAATATGTAATACCATAGCTAATAATTATTCATAATAATTACTGATATATAGACTTTCATTTTATAATAAAGTTGTTAACACAGAAACTTGTATTTTATTTACAGAATATGAAAATGCAAATTTAGATTTTGCAAGTTTATATTGAAAATTAATATGCAAGTTTAGATTGAAAATAGTTTGTATAAGAATTTAATAAAATGTATAAGAATTTAATATTCATTGTTGTAAGAAGAATTGAAAATATAATATAATGAAATCATAAATCCATAAATTTATCTACTTTGATCTAAATTAATTCAAAGTTAAAATCTAAATTAAAATCGATTGCATTAATAGAAAATTAGATTATTTTAAAATATCTTATATATTTATAATTATATAAAAATATAAATATTTACACGTAATTCTATTTCATATTTATATAATAAATGAAATATATAAAAATACAAAACTCACCAAATTTGAAGCTTAATTGGTGTTCCATCCAGATTAATTATTTTTTGTTTGAAATCGATACCTGTTGATTCATTATTTTTAAAACAAAACAAGACTTTTTTTTCAATAAATATGTAACGTTTATTAATTAAACATTACGTATATAAAACTATTTACGTATAACGTAACGATAAGAAGAAAATTCCTGAAATTTCGCGTTAATAACAATAAAAATAAAAAGAATAAACTTAAAAATTTAATATCACATATTTTAACAATTCAATAAATTTAATTCTATTATATAAATAAGGAATATTATTGAAATTATATTTAAGATTTCTATCGAGAGAAAATTTCCTTGCAATCAGCTGATCGATGACGTTAAACACATATTTCTTTAAAACATCACCATATGGTAATAATTTTTTTCAATTAAAATTACTTCATTTGTAACTTTTTGTCTTATATTCCAATATACATATATGTACATGAATTAGTATTGCATCGTGTTTTCGACAGAACATAAAATTTGATATGAAAAAAGAATATCATGAAACAAAACATCATCAGACTTTCGTATAACAAAGATATACATTTAGTGAATGTAACCAGTGAATACAATAGTAACTTTTCGGTAACAAGATTGTATCTAAAACAACAATATATGCTTGTCAACAAGTTACAGTTGAAGGATCGAAATAACATCAACTATATAATTTGTCACGATCCTTTTTTTTTTTAATTAAAATTATTTCAATTTTCGACGAATGTTATCGTCAATTATATCAACGCGACTTAATCAATAGCGATTATTCAATAAAACCGTTGTAAACAATTATTTACAACGACTTTCCATCAGTTTATTAATTTTTAACTGTCAATGTATCGAATATGAAACGCAATATTCGAGGATTTCGACGATGCGTCTCACCTATCGTTGATATGTAAGTATCGTAGTAACGTTCGTCACAATAACGGTGCACGATACAAGTTTTCCCAACGTTCGAGTCACCCAACACCAGAACCTTGTAAGTGGCTGCGAAATCCAGCGCCATGTTTGCTTTCGGAGCTTTTGAACTGTTGTTGGGTTGACAAGAGAGTCGTCGGCCGGCGGTTGTTCTTTGGATACTTTGGGGGTGGAGGATCGATTCGAAGCCTGCGCCTTTCTACGCGCTGCTAAAGCTACTCTCACAATTGCAACTTTTCATCGATCATGCGCGACAACATTCGACGCAAAAGAAAAAAAAAAAAAAAAAAA